AAAAATTGTTTATACTTTACTGTGAAAACTGTAAATTGACATTCCCAGAATTCTCATTAGAGTACATTAGGGTTGGATGTTGATGACATTTTTTTAATTGTAAATTTAGGTACAGTCTGTAAAACTTAAAATGTTGCTTCTGTATTTTTTACAGTTAACTACTGGTTCTTTCACTTTTTTCACCATACAGGGTAAGGGATCTTATCGTTAACCAATTAACAGTTTTTATATTTATCATTTTTACAGTCTTTTACCATGAAAAATTATGACATTTTTTACAGTGTATTCTGTAATTTATATATATATATATATATATAATGAAATTTCGAAGTTTAATAAAGTAAATAAAACAGATTATTGGAGTCAGTTTTACAAGAAAATACTCTTTCAGTTTTTATACCACTGATTAACTTTTTTTGGTGGCAAATAAGAAACAACCTAGAAACCTCTGAGAAATACCCTAGCAGTTGGCTCTGATAGCCTTGTGGGCAGCGTCAACATATAGCGCCGTTGTGCTATGGGCGTCCTGAGTTCAAATCCCGGCTTGAGGACCTTTCCTGATCCCGCCCACTCCTTCCTGTCACTTCTACACTGTCCTACTAATATAGTCAAATAAATAAATACATAAAAGAAATGCCCTAGCAACCATCCATAGCATCTTGTCAGTGATTTTTGCATGAGCAAGCACCACTCAAATCTTGTTTTATTGAGACTGGTTCATTTACATTTTATCTCACTGTACTTGTTCCCCTTTTTCATGTTTTCAACTGCAATTTCATTGATATTTTCATGAATACTGAATATGTTTGGAGGATAATGGTGCTTTAGCTCTGGCAGTGAGAGATACGGCTCTGATCCCACTTTCCAGTTCTTTGTTTGGCCTGGGACGGGAGGGTGGAGAGGGTGTGGAAAGGGGGCAGGGAAAGAGAGTCGCCTCATAAATATGTATGAAAAAAGTCTGCGTCTGCGAAATGAATGTCCCACGAGACTCGTACAATCCAGCACACATGCACTGGTGCCCTTGCCTGTGATGGTGATTCGGCAGCGCAGGCACTGTCTGTGTTTGATGCTCGACACTCCGGGACAGAATCAGTCGCTCCTCCTGGATTAGTGTAGACTCAGCTGAGAGAGGGAATGGTGCGTTAGAATGGAGTACACTTAAAAATAAAGCCTCCAAATGGGGGTTTTCACCATAAGAAGAACCATTTGGTTTCCCCAAATAACCTTTCAGTGAACAGTTCTTAAAAATGACCACTTTTTTCTATAGTGTCAAGAGCATTTTAACAATATGAAAACTTTTCCACTATAAAGAACATTTTGTGGAATGGAAAGATTCCATGGATCTTAAAGGTTCTTCATGAAACCATCAATGCCAATGCAGAACCTTGACAAATAGAGGATCGCAATAATAGCACAATTGATAATCAGGTTTTGTGGACGTCTGAGGTGATGTGGTATTTTTGAAAGGGATATTTGACGGTACAGGATCTGCTGTATGGAATTTATTGGAGGTAGAGACATGCATTTATACAGTTGTGTGACTTTTTTATGTTTTCAGCACTGTTTGCAATTTGATTTCAAATGTGCAGTGATACTTGTTTTGTTTAGACATACACTACTATCCAGAAGTTTGTGGTAAGATTTTTTTTATGTTTTTGAAATGTTTCTCTTGCTCACCAAGGCTGCATTTATTTGATCAAAAATACAGTAAAAACTGAAATATTGTGAAATATTATTACAATTTCAAA